ATTTTCAGTCAAATTACCACACATTTGTTTCCAGAGCTTTTATTTCTGGAGCTTTTTACACCAAGTAATAAAGTACAACAAAAATACAAAATAATGAAAAACCAAACAAAAAGCAATACAATTATAAGTACATAATTTATAAACAATAGCGATATCTGAATAATTCTGTAATTATGATTGTCTGTATATATGGATATACATTTATACCCCCCCCCCCGGTTGAATGTGAAAACCTATTTAATAATTCTTTTAAAATTCTAAATTAAATATATAAAGCGCAAACACACACACACCCAAATCCACTGGGGACAATTTACCAAACTTCTCTCAATATTTTTAAGCTGTAAAATGTTTACTGCTATAGGTCAAAACAACCTGTATATTCTGGTATTTTAGTTTGTTTTTAAATTGAAACAATCTGCAAATATTTGGGGATAAATGTGCTTCAGCAACTCTGAAATTCTTCAGCAAAGCTGAAATTCACTGTATTATTTATAAAAAGTACTAATACATAATAGGAGCACAGACACTTAAAAGTATGAAAATAAAAACTTTTTATATGAGCACCAAGTACTACATTTGTTGTATGTTGAGCATGATAAAGTTCTCTGCTGGATGTACAGATACTGAAAACATTTCAGACAAAACAAAAAACTGACAGAGTAAAACACTTTGTAGTGCTTTCTAACCCCTGTCAAGGAATAATGGCATCTACAGATCCATTTCGATCATCGTCTGTATTCGCAGCTCCAAACATGCTACTAACAAGTACTTCTCGATGTATTAACAATGTAGATGCACAAGACTTTCAACTCAACTTATAATTGCAACTGCAGTGCATTCAATAGAAAATAGACTCTTCACATTACTAATAGCAGCCGTTAAGTATCAGGAGTAAGAATGACGGTGAACAAATGAAACTCCTCAGTCTACTGAGCAAAGAGATGAACAAATGGCTTTAAATGGGAGTGTCCATAAATTATTTCCATTTCTACTATTTTCCATCTCTCTCACTCTCTCTCCAAAAAAAATCAGCATGCATCTTTTTGACGTCTCTTACTGCAGTAAACAAAACAAAGATGAAAACAAGCTATGAATATTGTAAGACTTACAGAAGTACAACAATCTATACATATCTACATATTATTGCCATAAACAAGACAATTTTTTCAGCATTCTGCATTGCCCTAATCAAAGTCAGGGCTTTTAGTATACAAATTAATTCTATGGTAAATTGTTTTAAAATGCAAATAGCAGGAAGGTCTCGAACTCAGAGGCGGTATCGGTTTTGATACAGTGCGGCAAGCTGACTGCTTTTTGGCAATTAATATTTATCAGCTTGAAATATGTCAAAAGGATCAACAAGAGTCCAATCTGCTTCATGCATACAATATACAACAATGGAAAAGAACTTAAGACAGTGAGCTTAACATAAAGAGAGGTAAAGAGTGATTAGCAATTAGCTCAATTAACATTCAGGTGTTCTCAGTACCCCTGGCAGCTACAAAATATACATAATGCATAACTGAAAATAAAAATAACACTGGTTTAATCGGTACTAAAGCGCCTGCAGTTTAGAGCACCAGCAGAAGTTGCTGATGATTTGTAAAAAGTAAAAATAACCTGTGATAGTAATGAGTAGCATTTAAACAGCTTCATAAGCTCAAAGGGGAATCATAAACATCACTTCTCACAGTCTAATATTTATACATAACTAATGATAATACTGTCAAGTGCAGATGACTGCCCTATAGAGCCAATCTGTCTAATGTAATGATATTGAAGCTTACATTATTATTTGAGTGCCAAATCTTGGGCAAAAAGAAAACTTGGGGACTGGAAAATCTACATTTTTTACAGTGCGCAGTTGAGAAAGATTCAATCGGTGTTCATTTCAGTCATGCTACTTGAGAATTAAGTAAAATATAAAAGGGGGGAAAAATAGAAGAAAAAGCATCAACCAAAAAAAAAAGGTTATTAAATGTTCGGATTACCACAATAAATTGAGTTTAAAGCTTACACTTAAAAACATCCTAACTCGAACACCAACCAATAACGAGATCCAAAACCTCATTTGGATAATAAAAAAACATGGATATCTCAAGGCATCCTTTATGAAAAAAATAAATAAAAATAAAAAAGAGGCCAAAACATCTCAGCAACTAGAAGTGCTCTTTGCTCTTTGTTTCTTTGTTTTTTGTCTTTTGCTCCAAAGAAATCACTATTTTCAATTACAAAAGCCAGTTTCCTGATATACAAAATGCTACATTTCCCAAGGCTTAGTCGATCTCGTGTGGTGTGAACACTGAAAAAAAGTACCAAGTTTTGAAACAAACACACATACATGGAAAATCCTAAAACATCAACAACAAAAAATGCAGTTTCGGTGGCAGCGACAACTTTGTGAGACAGTAAAACTTAAAGATGCAGGTGTCGGGAAGAGTACAGTAAGAGACCACGGCTCTCTGCTCCAGCATTTAGGTTGAACTGTATATCACCGAAGACAAAAAGGATATTAAATATCTGAAGGACCAGAAAAATAAATGGCTATTTAAACTCTTGAGAAATCAAGATTTCTTAGCTCTGTGCAATAAAGACATCACTGATGTCATATTACAAAAACAAACAAACAAACGACCAAAAAGTATATTCATATATATAGATATTTTTTTTAATTTAAAAAAGAACTAATAGTCAGTGAGCGGATGAATGTGTGTCTGGATGGCAGAAGAGAGTCAGTCGGACTGAAGTGCAGTGTGTTGGTGGTGTCGTGAATGAGAGCCGAGAAAACCGTTAGTTTCGCTGCTCCCTATGCTGCTGAAGTCTGTGACCGACACTGCCATTGTGGCGCCTGTAATGCGATGTGCGCGTCTGCCCTCGAAGTCCAGGTTAGTGACAGACACGTCGTTGATGAAGGACTCCGAAAGGCCCATCTTGAGCCTCTTGGAGGGTCGTTCGCAGTCTTTGGTGCTGCACACGCTGATCTGGCTCAGGTCCGAGCGGTAGAAGCCAGAATCCAGCATGTTGAGGCAGCCGCTGTCTCCATTTGTAGCATAGCTGAGCTGATCATCATGGTTCAGGGCTCCTCGGTGTAAACTCTCCAGAGGGGGGAAATACGGGGAGTCTAAACAGCTTATGTCTCCTGGACCATTGCACACAGTTGCTACGCTGTTACTAATGGCTGCAAGAACAAAAAGGGGGAAAGAAAGCAATTTTGGGATATGTTTGAGGAAAAACAGGGATGTATGATAAAGAAAATCTTGCTGATATTCAATAAAAGTAAAATATTTAAAAAATAAAAGAAATATTTTTGGTAAATTAATGTTCACATTTTTATTGAAATGAAGATGAAATTGGGATAGTTCACCCAAAAATGAAAATTAGCCCATGAATTACTCACCCTCAAGGCATCATAGGTGTATATGACTTTCTTCTTTCAGATGAATCCAATCAGAGTTATATTAAAAATTGTCTTTGATCTTCCAAGCGGTTTAATAGCAGTCAGTGGCTGTTGCAGTTCATCAGTCCAAAAGAAGTGAAATAAAGTGCATCCATCCATAATAAAAAGTGCCTCACACGGCTCGGGGGGGTGAACAAAGGCCTCCTGTTGCGAATCGATGCGTTTTTGTAAGAAAAATATCCATATTCAAAACGTAATAATCACTTTAATCTAGCTTGCGCCAACAGTTGTACACGGAAGCAGTTCCGGGAGCATGACGTAAGATGTCGGCGTTGCACATGCGCTGGTGAGTCTCGTGAAAACCAACGTTTGTTTACAGGATCAAAAGAAGCAAAGTTTCCTTACTTTAGCAAAGGAAAACCAGTCTCCTCTTGGCTTATATCGAAATCCTCCGACATTCTTCTTTACAAATCCTCGTTTTGTACTTCCAATTCGTGATCATTGTTTTGTTTTGATCTCTTTGCGCTTCCGCGTTCGTCACTTCTGAGCGGCGCATGCACAAAGCCGACCTCATACGTCATCCGCCCAGAACTGCTTCC